TTGGTTATTATTATGATATTTTATATCTATAAAATATTAAATACTAGCCAATCATATTCCATCAAACTAACAACCCACTTATTTGTAAATGTTGAAACTACTTGTAGTTTCAACACCAGAACAATTTGAATTCTATTTAAAATACAGTTGTTCTCATTCTGCAACTAACTCGCGTAAACCGGTGTACTTTAGATCTATTGAGACTAGGAGATAGAAGAGTAAGATTAAGATTGGTATTAGACTAAGAAGTTGCACAAATCTATCCGGCCAAAAATAAGATAGCGTGACGAGCAGACGATGTACCTTATCTGAAATTACTCTGAGTATAACCAAAAGGATATAACTCATCTGGTGCGAACAAAAGTCTCGAACAGATCTTAACTAACCTAGACATAGAGAAAATTAGATTAGAATTAGACAAATACATTATTTCAAAAATGTTATATGACAAAAACTTAGTAGATATGTCGCTACGCCTCAATAGATCAGATCCAATATTCCGAACAATACGAGAACTAACCTGTATTGGAAGAAAACCTCGAACAAGAGACGACGTACGACTAGGAAGAAATCTACCGATCAATTTCCTGATTGTACGACAAAAACGAGATAAAATTTTTGTATTTAGGATACTAACAGCAGTAAATTTAAATTTCCATTTACTGACATAATATTTTGAAGAATCATCGTCAATAACCTTTCATGGCGCTAAACCTAATAAATATACAATAACGACTGATAAAAACAACACTTGTCGTTTTCCTTAAATCAGCTGTAATTATATAACATCTTGAAAAAATATTTATTGGATATAAAAATACAAAAATTAGTTAGTATAAATCATACATCGTTAGTATATATAAATCATCTCTTCATCCCAGCTTCATCACCTAAAACATAACAGCAAATCTCAAAAACTAACAATCATCAAAACTAAAACTTAACCCTAACCCTTTATTGATAAACTATCAAGGTTTATCCTTGTTTTCACTTAATTAATTTCATTTTAAATAACAGATCATCAAGGCTTCCCATGATCTTTAAATTAAATTAAATTATATCTAAATTTTTGATCATCAAGGCCTATCCTTGGATCAAATAGAACAATTTTGTTCTCCATCTCACAATTTATTTAATGTCTAATGACCTCAAACGTCGATTCACTAACCAACCCTTATCAATGACCGAGAATAAACAGAATTTTTCCCAAAAATCTACTATTTTAATTAAGATAAACAATGAAGAACTTCGGTTTTTCATCCTTCACTTGATCTCCCTCCTCTTAGACGACCCAGGCTAAAACTTTTCAACTTAGTAAGTCATAAAATAGTATCCAAGGAACTACTTGCGGTCTAATTATACCTGAACCTTGTGGATCGATTTACTATTCTCCAACCCTTGATCATAAATCACAACCCCTAAGTAAGATTAGGTAAGTCTATCTCAACTGTTTATTTAACGACGAAAGTTACGACCTCGTAATCACACCACACAGACAATCAGTAGGGTATATAAGAACAAAAAGACAAACACTAAGAAATAAATTTTTTAACAAACAAAAACAAACTATTAAGAAAAGATTTTCAAAACGAAGAAACGCCGTCTCAGAATCAGAAACAACCGCAATACAAGAACTTCACAATTTAAAAGATTCAATAAATAAAAAATATCAAATTGACGATCAAATATATTTTACACATTGAAAATTATACGCTAACAGTCATAAAACACAAAAATGATTCGAAAATAAGATAAACTAGAAGATTCAGTACTTACCCTTTTTAATACATCCATTAACTGACGCTCGAGGACAGGTACAATTTTGCCAAAATTTAATCGCAAATTTATTCGAAAAAGGAGATGTCCGTGCAGAAGAGAATTTCCCGATGTAAAAAACAAAAGACAAAATCTTCACCACTATCTCAAAGGTATATGTAGTCTCACATAACAATATGGAAACTACACAGTAGAAATCAAATCACCAATTGCATTTCATGATAGATACCTCATTCAAACTGATGACGTAATATTGAATTTTCAAAAGTTATTACGCAATACATCAAAATCATACAACAAATACCAAAACTCGCAAAGAGCAAACTCAATATTCACAAATGATGTGTTCTCACTCATCTATAGCTATTTTTCTATATTAGAATTGAAAGAACCTCAAAGCGATTCACCAGCGCAAACATCTCGACATACAATTGTACGACAAGAAAAACACACATTTTCAAAATTTTTCAATGCAATCCGAGGAGATCTAAAAAGTAATGACATAACACAACATGTTAAACACGATTTACAAAAACTCTTAGCTTTGTTCATAATCGATTATTTTAGTCATAAAATTGATTTTTTTTGCACAAGCAAGAAAATTTTTAGAACACAAAGTATAGATGAGGAAACCGTACTAGCAGAACAATCAGATTGCATTTGGGACCCTGATTGGTCTCATGAATCATTTATTAATATACCAACAGATATATCAAGTCAAACAATTAGCACAATCTCTTTTCAGAAAAATTATGTTAGAGTATATCCGCTAACGATTGATGCAACACCTTTAAACTATAATTCATTCTTCCCTGAAAGAACAGGAAAGGTTAGTTTAAACCATTTGTAAATAATGACAACTTAAATGGAACAAGAAATCTTACACAACAAGATATACAAACTCCATGACGGTTTGTAAGCGAAGAAATAGTTGAAACAATAAATGAAGCACAACGAAGCATTTCACCTATTCGACCCAATTTTACAACTTCAGAACAAAAAAACTCGACGTTTCTACAAACAGTTATACAATCCACAGTAAAATCCTCTTTTGCACACAAAAATTCTCAAATGGATTATCCAACGTTTCGACCAGTAAATAAACCATCTTTTAAGCAACAAAAATCACGTAAAATTTATTTTGCAGAACATAATTACAACTATGTAAATGGACCAAAACAACAAAACTTTCTAAAATAAATACTCAAAATTACTTAGATTCGCAAAATATACCACAAGCGACTTCAAATTCAGTAAATTTTTCTTATCAACCACGATCCTCACAAGAACAAAATGAAAATTAACCATTTCTTCAACAAAATCAAAATAATACAAAATAATACCATACCAGAAATCAACCTCATCATGATACAACAAATTATTTTGCATCAGATGATGAAGAATACCATAATCAAAACCATCAACGATTTTATTCCAGCCAAAGACCTCGTTCTTACAGCATAGACCAACCAGACATTTTCGAACCACACACACAAAATGAACAAAAACGACAACGTAGAAATAATCCAAACTAACCAACGCAAGCTTACTAAACACCACAAACCACAACCTAACAGCATGACTAAAAAAAGAAAACCCACGCTATCCAAACTGGATTAACACCAGCTCAGAACTGGATAAATTATTCTTTTGAAGACTCCTTTTAAGTCTGAACAGAAAAAAAACAACTAAGACAACAAAAAAACACCAGTACTAAAAAAGGCACGAAAATTTGAACTAAAACAGGACCCTCCAAAAAAGAGCATGAAATTATACCCTCACTCCTGGCCTAACCCACCAGAGAAGACGTCCTGAGCATGCTCTATGGTCGGCTCCACCCACCGTGCTACATCCACGCTTTATGACACCCACAACTCTATTTTTGATGACAATTACTCAAGTCTGAGTAGCTCTTAAAAATAACCGAACTAAATAATAACGCTTTTGCGATAAAAACTAATATAAGATCATGACTAAAAACAAGATTAACAAAGATTTATTTATGTAAATAATACATGCAGTATATAGATAACATGCAGCTCAAAGACGAGCAGCAAGGAACTTGACAACCCAATCACACTCCAACTACGGAATGGCAAGACACACCTGACATGCTACCTACAGTCACTACACTCAACGGATTTAAAGTACGACTTGTTATCGCAGCAAAGGAAACCCATTGCAACCGAACAATGGCCATCTCGATGTTCAAGTATACGTACAGATCCAAGTCACCAGGCTCTGCATCTAAAGTCAAACTACACGACACTCCCAAATGTGATTGGACCATTGCTATTCTCTAAAATCAACCAGATCAACACTCATCACAACCGATCAGAAATCATAATAAGATCTCCCGAAACTATCGTGATGACATCTCTTCTTCCAAACTAGAAAAAAGAATATGCTCGCAACCTCTAAAAAAAACACCATCATCCATCCTTCACTACAATAGAACATTGAAAAACTAAAACTCTCTAAACCCCGGATGGGTGGAACCAGATCTAAACTAGTATTTATCATTGGTTATTATTATGATATTTTATCTCTATAAAATATTAAATACTAACCAATCATATTCCATCAAACTAACAACCCACTTATTTGTAAATGTTGAAACTACTTGTAGTTTCAACACCAGAACAATTTGAATTAAACTTAGAATACAGTTGGTCTCATTCTGGAACTAACTCGCGTAAACCGGTGTACACTAGATCTATTGAGACTAGGAGATATAAGAGTAAGATTAAGATTGGTATTAGACTAAGAAGTTGCACGAATCTATCCGGCCGAAAATAAGATAGCGTGACGAGCAGACGATTTACCTTATCTGAAATTACTCTATGAGTATAACCAAAAGGATATAACTCAGATTCCAGCCAAAAAAATGATGAGCAGTAACGTTGTTTTAAACTGCTCTTATATATAGAAAACTCGTCGCCCCGATTCATAACTCTGCTGTAAGGTGTGAAGGATCTTGGTGCCATCCTTCTCCTGGATCTTGTGGCGTTTTTCGCCGCAGAGAGGCGTCCTTTTTCATAGCCTTAGTTTTCAGCTAGTTTTCAGCTATTTGTAGTTTTCAGCTAGTTTTTATGTTTGATTACGTCTCTGATTGCTTTAGTGATGACTTTTGATGCCAAGTTTTTGGTGACAAAAAATCATGCTTGTTAAATGCGAATTATGTTGTCAGAAATATTAGATTCGTCAAACTAATTTACTTTTCAAGAATCGGAATGGCGTGGATGAGTAGTGTGCTCGTCCTTTTGGCAGCAGTGAGCAATTTCGCTGTTGAAGATGACCCGAACGCTGTGTTTTCAGCTCGCATAGAGGTAAACACTTCTATCTGTATTTTGGTCAACACCTCCCTCAATTATGGATTATAATCTTTTTCCAAATTGGCGCAATATTGGAAACATCTTAAAGAACTGTAATTTCTGTTATTTTGTTTTAACCAAAAACTTAATAAGTTATTTTGGTTTTAATCATTTTTTTTATTTCTTTATTTTTTTTTCAGAGTTGCAGTGGGTGCAAATTGAACCGGCTCCCTGATGTGAAGCGGTTCCTCAATCAAAAAGCTCCCCTTATGTTAGTATTTTATTGTATTTTGTGCAGCTCTTGTTTGTTACTGTCAAATGAATTTCTTTTCAGACATAACGTTGAGGTGAAATGGATTGGCGGAGCAAACCCTGACGCTTTCTTTCTCAATAAAGATGGAGAAATTGTAGAAGTAAGCTTTTTTTAAGTTTCGTTTTCAAATGAAATAATCACGACCCAGTCGAAGCCTTAAAACGCGAAAACTTTGAGTTCTCGCTGAATGGAATCTCCTCAATGGTTTTTTCCGCATAATTTTATTTACGTAAAGGAGAGCTCTTAAGTGATCATCAGTGGTAAAAAATTAATTTTTTTTGATAAAGAGGATTTCAAAAAACCACAAGATTTATTTTCAAGAACAATTTGTTCGTTTTCCAGATTGAGTTAGACGAAATTTGACGAGATGCTATCTTCTTCCTAAATATAATTTTACTACAATTTCAACGTTATTCAGTGAAAGAAAGTGACTATCTCTTATATCAGCGGTGATAATTTTTTTCAGGAAAAAAAAAGGCTTACTTTTGTTTACGCTCATTTTTGTTTTTCGCGATTTGAGTTCTGATATTTTTTTTATATTTTGTTTTCGATTTTTTTAAACTTTTTATCTCATTTGCTTAGATAATTTTTACTTTTGCGAGAGCAGGTATCTTGTAAGCGGGATTTAGGTTCTTTTCCTAAACAGTTTTTTTTTATAAAATGAACCCCATAGTGTATTGATCTTTAACAACATCCAGCCTCCTTTTCACTTGGTCCGGAGGTAACGCGAATGCTTTTGCATCCTAAGGTCTGCGATTCGAGTCATGGACGGGCTTTTTTCAGTATGTTTGAAATTTAGTTTTCCCGGGCAAAATTGAATCGCTGGACTTTGCTTTGCATCCTCGTAATTTGTCGGATTAGGTGCCAAATCAAGGATTAGTCTTGAGCTGTAAACTTTTTTTCATTGTTGTTGTAAACCTTGTTCAATTACTCATGCAATTTGTAATTTTACTAGCACTGACCTCAGTTATTTTTCTTTTTTTCGCGTACAATTTATATTCGTCATAAATAGTTTTGGCTTATGTTTTATCGCAGTAATTCAACCTATTTTGTGTCGTGTGAAAAACAAATTCATCATTGTTTTTGAGACATAATTCTGGTCAGTTGTGATGTAAAAATTCAAATTATCAAAACCTAATCGTATTTTTTTTTCGGCTCAGTGAGGTAAACCCATAAATTGTCGGCTGTATGATTTCTCGCTAAATAATGAAAGCCTTTTTAATAAAGTTGTTAGTTGTATTTCTCGACTGTTCTTATGAAGTTAAATTATTTCGTCTTATTTTTTTTCACTAGCTTGCAATGCTACGCTTGCAGTGTATCTCAACTTTGACTCTGTGTTAAATGGTTGCAATCATTTTTTCGTGTTCATTAAGCGCACTAAATACAATATGACTTAATGTAGATATTTTGATTTATTATAAGTTTTTTTATGAATAAATTCGAGTGAGGTATCTTTCAAGAATATCGTCGTGAACCTCTTTCACTCATTAGATATAATTTAGTTTTCATAATGCACAAAAAGTTTGTATTTTTTGTTTATGATGTGTTGTGATAACTGTTTTGGCTTTTCTTTTATAGACAGTGGATCTGACGAAATTCAAATCAGACGGTTTGATTCAACTGTTTGTCGATCGTGGCTTCCACTTTAAGCTAGATCCGGACGAGCAAGTACCCAGAAGCAAACAGAGGGGACCATATTATATATACAACGAAGGAGCTACACGTCAGGGTGTAGGGAATGATAACAATGTCAATGAAGGGACGGACAAACGAAAAGTGAATGCAGAAAAAGTTGATTTGTAAACTGGTGTGTGCCAATTATAAGTAGATTTTTAGTTGTAACTAGTAAAACAGAAATAATCGCATTAATTCATTTAAAGCGTGAAAAAAAAATCGAAACAGTTTTGTGTTCGTTTTGAACTAAAAATATCATAACTATTAGTTTGGTTATGATGTTTACTAGTTATGAATTGCCACTTGGTAGATTTTATGGTGCCAGAAATTTCGTCAAGTTTACCGTGTAATATAGCTATAATGTATTAATCATTTATTACGATGTGTTTGTTTTCATATCAACATTATTGGCGATGAATGAAAACGCAGTTCAGTTCACATGGTGCTCTTTCAATCAATTTGTGTAAATACTACTTTCAAATTTTTATTATTTTTTTCCTCTAACAGTCAGGGACGTATTTTATTGCCATTTTTTAAAGTCAGTATCACATTTTATTCTGTAAAGAGACAGACTTCGTAAAGTAAACATCGAAACAAACATTTATTTCTAAAATTGTAAATACACGTTAAGATCTAATGGTAGCATATTTGCTCCAACTGATACTGACTCAAATGAACGTTTCATGCTTTTTATTTTCATGATGATTTTGTGTCTAATGGAAAAGTGCCAATTATGAGTTTGATCATGCAGTTTACTTATGACGGTTCTCCATTAAAATTCTCACTCTCACTTTGAACCTTGGTTAACCCGACGCCTTCTAACTGCTGTGTCAGAGTCTTGTTGGTGATTTTTGTTTAAAGTTTAATTATTCGATGTTCTGTTTTTTAAAGAAATTGAAAGCGCTGTACGTAGTAGTGTAGGCTTTCAGACAATTCAGAAAATCTATAGCAAGCCGTTCTCATTTTATAACAAGCGCTCTGGTCAAGAGTAATCAAAATACAGTTCTTGGCTCGAAAAACTACGGCTAGTTTGAATCGCTCACCTGGCATAAAATGATTATCGGTCCGACAAACTTGGTCGGACCGATAATCACTTTAGAAGCGTCATAACTTAGACCATATTTTGGAGCTCAGTCGAGCTGAACTACCGCCATTTTGATTTTTAAATGGTAATGGGCTAAGTTTTTGTTTGTTATAAATAGTGAATTTTTATCAAGGTAGCTGGTTTTAATGTTGAAAGATAGTCTTTAGTTTTGTTCACGCTGATTTGATCTCTCAAAGTTTCAATTTTGGTTTCTGCCACTGAAAAGACTCGATGCAACTAAAAAGACGCGCTGAAAAATATGTCTCAAAAAAGCCTTCACTAAAATGTCTATCAGATGTCTTCACTACAAGATGTTGGGTCGTCAATTGGTACAGGAACGTGACATAGAAGATGTAACTTCTAGTTTTCACCCGCTGAAATGAAAGAAGTTTTTTAACGTGATTTTGCTGAGTAACTACTTAATGCTCATGGATCAAATTTTGACTGATGATAGATAAAACTGCTTCAATGGCTTTAGCTGGATTAAAAATATAGATATAGTGTCGGACAACCCTTAAAAATATATTTTTTTAAATTATGTTTTGGGACTCGAAACCTTTCATTGGAAAGCTAAAGATCTTGGTTATTCCCTCATGCAAATTTCTGGAAATTTCTCCAGTCGAAAAAGGTTTTTAAGAGATGTTGCTAGATCCTTTGCTCTTCAATTGAAAATTTGGAAACCACAAAATTAGAAAATTCATGATTTTTCTGAAGGGACTCCTGAGCGCCTACCCGTTCAGCTTCGATTGAAAAACAAACAACCAACAAGAGCGCAAGCTTTTCTGTTTTTGATCAGGCTGGATCCTTTGTACATTTCATTTTTTCCATAATGTCTCAATATTTCAGCCATGAATCGCTTGAGAAAACGACAAAAAGTAAAGAAATTTTTTTTATTTTGTCGGTTTAAAACTATAAACTAACACTTCTTTGTCCCGTGACCGTATAGCTTGTTACTACCCCAGAAAGCTAGTCAGGGTAGTGTATTATTTAATTTCTACTTTTTCCAACCTTGCTGGAAAACAGAAAATCTCATTTGATGGCAGTTTTGCTATATAATCGTGATCTCTAGCATTGAAAGTTTCATTGTGTCTATTCTCTGCTTTGTGTGACTAGTGTTTGTCGATCGTTAAGCGTGCTTGGCATAGAGAACGGTGTGCGTCTTCAAGTCTCGAAGTTGAACGTTCGAATCGGACGCACAACGAAACTCTACGTATTCAAGGCTTATTTCTACTTTCTTATTTCCTTTTTAAGAGCTGTTTTTTGTCGTTTTTTTGCTAGTGTTTGCGAGGCGCAGCTTCGCTTCTGTGTGAGAATTGCATGAGCGATGAGTGAAAACAAATATGCTGAAATGAAAACCTCTAACCAAATAATTGGTAAATGACACATCCAATTTTTTTGGAACTATCTTAATGTCAGTTGAATCACGACTGAAAGGGACTCATTATGATAAATGACTCAACGCAGTCTGATGATCATTTAGGACATCTGATTTTGCATTGAAAACAAAAAAGCTAAAGCACCCACATAAAAGTTTCTCGCTTAATTTCACATGCTGAAACAAAAAACGTGGAAGGAAAAAAATTTCGATAGATGTAGTTTTTCACATGATAGTGTATTTGTTATAATAATTAATCTTTAATCTGTACTAAGAGAAAAGTTCAGAAAAAGGTTCATAATCAATTAAAATTAATTAAAAGAAGTGCCGAAATTTTAATTTCGAGAAACTGAAGGTATTTATGCTTGCAGCGAACAAACGTTATAAATATGCATTATATTATTTTGGATTAACCTCTTAAACCAAAAAACTGATTTGTTTGCGCTGACTTGCGCAATTTCAAGAAAAAACGAATTTGATTCCTCGTTGCTTTTTTGATAAATACCTGTTCAAATAGAGTTATCTTGACAGAGTTTTCTTGTTTTTGAGTTACCTTCTAGGCTCAACATGTTTTGCAGGTTCAACATCTTTCCAAGTTTCGCCAGCTTTGTCAAAATCAATTTTGCATGAATGCGTAGCGTATATCAAACGTATAATCGTATCACAGGACATGTTTTGTAAATATAAAAATTTATTGAAAACAATCGTAGAAAAAATCGATTTTTTTCTCAAAGCGTTTCTTCTTTGTTGCTTCAGTTTAACTTCTATTGGATAGCTGAGCATGCTTTTTGGTAAAATTGCAATTGGTTGGAATTTCTGTTTTGCCTTTGCTATGATACTTTTTTGTGAAAAGGTTATCCTTTGATCTCTGATATGCCTGGCTTTTCATTGTAATTCCTGATATTTTTTGTGTGAAACCTAATCGAACGAATTATTTCTCTTTACCTGCAGTTGTCCTTTTTCTGTTAGTTGGTTAGAGCCAATTCTCAAAAAACCCTGCCAATGAATCTAAAAAACATATTTTGGGCTACCTCATTGCATAAAATGGTACGCCCTGTTTTCGTAGAATAAAAGCTATAACTTTCGAAAAAGACAACTTTGATTATTTTGGTGACAGTTTTTTGGAATCTGTTCGCTTTAAAATTTCGCTGCCAAACATGAGATTAAGGAATTATTTGAATAAACTCGTCGTGAAAACATTTTTTGAAGAAGTTTTTTTTGAAAGTTGGAAACGTACATCTTGAAGTTTTCGCCGTTATCCACTTCTTTGCAAAATTTATGACCCCTCTTGAAATTTACCCTGACAAATTTTAGATGCAGAGTTTAATTGCTAAACGATGTTATGGATGCCTTCCCGGTATAAAAACACTTGGTAATCACAGGTTCGATAAAAAGAACAGATGGCGGGAAAAGTCCATTATTCTGCCCATTCTCATTTGATTTCATTGAGATTTCCCTCAGTTTGAGTAGGGAAAAAGATGTTATAAAATTCAGATATTGAATTAGATATGATAGATATATAGATAGAATAAAGTAACGAATAAATGATTATCGAATCCAGAATTGAATGTATAGTTTTAAGGTATAATGTTTTATGACTTGACTTCACACTTAAGGCTTTCGCAAATGACCGCTTCCGAATCTCAAGTGACAAACGAATTAGCTGGTGAGATTTTGTCCTTGAATCAATTTACTGCACTATAAGTAAATAATTAAGATATAGTTAGATAAGACAATACACAAGTAAATAGAATATAATGAGGTACCGAAGGTCGCCTCATGACACTTCCCCCTCTAGAAAAAAAATTTATCTTAGTATAAATTTTGAATCAGGCAGGATAATAAGAGAGAAAATAAGCACCGGAATGGGTAAGTGATAACCTAATCAATAGGCTAGTATGGCAGAGTTTACAAAGTTTTAAAGTTTATCATGCTCTTCGGTTCTTGTTTTCTTAAACGGAGTAGTTTGCTCCTTAGTCCTAGGAAACGGCACTTTCCGAACAATGGGGGTGAATGGCGTAGTAACTTGGTTGGCGAGTGGCGTAGTAGTTTGATCAGCGTTGTGTCGTTGTGACGAAGGCTCCGCAGGGTCAGATTCAGTTACACTTTTAACTGAATGGCGAAGAGGATCTCCGTAAAACCTCGTTGGTTTCTTAGACCGATTAGATGATCGAAACTCGCTTCAAGATTGAGAGGTAGGATTGTCAACCTCCATATTGCCAGGATTTGCTGAATCCTCTGTCGCAGTCTGAGGGACCTTGTCTGAAGTCTGTGGCAGATCCTGGGGTGGTTCTACCGCCCCTGTAGTAGATGTCAAGTCAGGGTGAGTTGGAGGATCGACAATCGGAGTGGTTGAAGTAGCGATCACAGGAGCCAATCCTTGAGGCGTTGAAAGCGGTGCCTCCACTAATTCGAGCTGGGGGCCAGTGATCAATGAGTCCTCGCTCGACGACTCTGCTGTCAAGTCAATCACCTTACCCTTCGAAGGTTCATTTGACTGCCTTGTAGCTGAAGTGGTAGCTGGTTGAGATTGAGGCCGAGGAGCAATTCGTTGTTGCAAGCGTTCTCCCACTGTGCCAGGCGTAGCTGAAAACTTAGGGTGATTAAAATTATGTCTTAGGCTTATGTGATTTTTCCGATAAACTTTTCCTTTGTCGGTAATGTAAGTATGATCCGTAACGCGAGTAATCTTGATTTTTGCTAATTTGGACAGAGGCTTTCCCGAATTTCGATCAAGGACTTACCGAAAGATTTTGACTCTTAGAGGATCTTGTAAAACTAATTTTTCTAATTTACGTGTTTTTGAGAGTCTTTTAGGCCTCGAAGAGGACGACACGTTCATTCTCTGTGAATGCGAGAGTGCTGGAGCTGACGTATCGCGGGCGTTGTCGTAGAAGCGTAGGGTTCCCTTTGTGATCCCTGTCTTGAGCGAGGTCGCTATTACGAGCCGCCAATTCACGAAGAAGATTTTGGCCTTGTTGTGGGGGCACATTCCGTTTCCACTGCTTCCAGGTGTTAGCTGCCTTTGCAAGGTTCTCCAGGGCTTTATACGGTTGACTATCCGCGATACGCTCACCCACGCCAAAGAGTGGCTTGAACTTAAAGGGGATTTCTGGGCTGTGTGACGATCCTCTGGGTACCACTTTAGCCCTATCGCGACTGTAATCCTGGCTTGACCGTTGCTCCGGAGTTAGGAGGTTCCTTTCAAGTCCTTGCGCTGAAGTAGGAGAATGAACAACATTATCACGTGCTAATGAAAACTCAGTATTAGGCTTCCTCCCAAAGTGTAACTCAAACGGAGATACTTTTAACGTAGAATGGCTAGTTTTTCGAATATCGTCGATAATTTGTTGTAAAGTTCACTTCAGATTAGTAAAATTAGAATCTAAATTTTCTGTTCCTAACTTC